TTCGATTCGAATTAATATTGAAAATAACTGTTGAGATAGGTAGTTGTAATGTTCTTGTTGAGGTTACTATCAAAAGTGGGAACCCCGTCTATTTAAATATCCATCGCTAGTCCTGCCATAAGCTTTGAACCGCGATACTCAACAATAACGATTCGTACGAATTCGAATTCAAGACCGATTCGAATTCGATTCGAAGTTCGCGAACTTTTTTGTTCTAAAGCTTCATTGGGAAGGCGGTCAATCACGCCTGTTGTTCAATACGATAGCCAGCAATCAACACTTCATACAGGTAGTCTAATAATTTGTTAACTAACATTTGGATTCAGAGATAAGTAGGATAGATTTAGTCTGATATCAAAATTGAAAAATCTGGCCTTAAGATTGAGAAGCTGTAGGGCAGTATCAATAGATGCAATTTTCGGTCAAAAAATTCATCCAGATATATATTATTCGACTCTTAAGGTTACTCCACAAATCGATAATCTTATATGTGGTCTGTTTTGCTTCAAATTATACTAGCTCATAGATCGTACTGAGATACACGTAATATATCAATATGGAGTCATAATATGAATAGCTGCACATTGCATTTAATGAAGAGTAAATAGATAGTCTAATCGGGTTAGCGGAGACTCCACAATAACGTGTCTTCGCGCATACGTGCTTTTACTAAGAACAACATCCAAATCGGGTGCAAAAGCTACTAAAAACCGTCACTTCAGGGTGCCTGAGGGTAAGCGATCGATTAAGACACAAGCTTGACATACTAATATAAAGTTACAGATGACTTCTCCACTTGCTACAACATTTGACTGTCCTAATACTAGGAAGAATAAACGCGATTATGCGGCGCTTAATAAATATGGCCTCCTTGCAGACGATATACCACTTCCGCCTCCCCGAAAGAAGATGGCAGTCCGGTCCGCCCTTAAGTCGCCGACTCCTCCAATTTCAACGTCTCCTACAGCTCCCAGCAATGTCTCTATGAGTTTGTCGAATCTTGATACGGATATACATCCTTCGCAATCAATATCTCAGGTCGAATGCGAGGTAGAGAGGGTCGAAATCAAGCAGAAAGATGAGACTAGGTCGAAAGAGCGGAGCTGGGTTTGGAAACACTACCTTACTACACCCGAATCTGGCACCTGGAGATTAGGAAATAAGGAGCGGTCCGAGCTTAAACACCTGTGTATTGTGTCGCCATCAACCTGCCGATTCTTTCGATTTGCATCGAAACTGCGATCTTCAACCACAGCGTTGAAACAGCACCTGCAGCAAACCCACAAGCTCTTCCAGGACGGCCATTCAGGGTGCCAAGGTCCGCTAAGCTCATGGATTTCTAAGGAAAAGAAGCTCCCATTCGAAGAAACTGTCTTGAATTGGATTGTATCAACCTGCCAACCGTTTACATGCGTCGAACAGCCTTCATTCAAGGCTATGTTGAGGTCCGCAGGCTTTCAAGACTCCGTACCAAGTGCGGATACTGTGTCGCGCCGATTATGTCTTTGGCTTGATGCTCTTGACAGTGAGCTTCGAATCTTAATGTCTTCAGCATCCTCAATTGCGCTATCTTTGGATGGCTGGACAAGTCAGAATTCATTGCCAATGCTAGCCATTAATGCTCACTGGATGTCCTCTGCCTTCCAGCAATATCGAGCTTGTATTGAGTTCGTTGAAATTGAAGGCAGCCACTCTGGAGAGAACCTTGCTAATATCGTTGCGACGGTTCTCGAGAGGTTTCATATATCCGATAAAGTTATGACAATTACAGCTGACAACGCATCGAATAACGATACCCTACACCGATGTCTCTACCAAAAGCTGTCTCAGCGGTACGATGAGTACCTGGCCGAGACTATCATCCGAGAAGGGACGATGAAATTTACCCATAACTCCCAAATCCGCTGCTTTGCTCACATCTTGAACTTGGTTATGAAAACTATATTGAGGTCTTTACGCGCTAGTTCGCATAAGGAAGCCTGTGATCTTCTTGATGATGTTGCTAAGAGGAGCTGGAAGACGGTCAACGCTCCTACTTCGCCTATTGCAAAGCTTCGACTACTTGTCCTTTGGATTGCGCGATCTCCTCAGCGGATACAGAAGTGGGATAATCGACCTGGCTGTACAAAAGCTATCAACTACGATGTTGATACTCGATGGAACTCTACCTTTGTTATGATTGTGAGAGCTGAAGAGTGTCGCCGTCAGCTCGAAGATACAGTCAACGATGATCCAGATATCGAAGCCTTACGTCTCACGCCCAACGACTGGAGACAGCTCTCGGATATCAAGATGATCCTGGCTCCCTTCAACGAATATACCGAGTACGTCTCTCGGGATAGCCCTTCAATTCATATGGCGGCGCGTATGTTTGGAGAGCTCCGTTCTATACTCCTCGCTATCAAGGAACGACGAGGCGAGTGGCAGAAGGTCTCACCAGCAATAACTGTTCCTGTTTCCGATGGAATCTCACTCTTGGAGAAGTACCACGAATGCGTCAAAGACAACGACATATACTATATCGCAAGCGTTCTGGACCCTCGAATCAAGACCAAGTGGCTCAAAACGCTACCAGATGGAGAGAAGATTATTGACCGAATCCGGGAGTTCCTGAAGAAAGCATATTCCACTACAAAACAGCCTGTATCGACTACTCCAAGAACCAATTGGAAGAGCTTCGAATATCGATTTCTGGAAGCCTTTCAGCCTACACAGTATAACGTCGCTGAGTCTGATATCGACAAGTATTTCGATACACCGACAATCAGCACTGGTTTCGATATAAGCCAGAGCCAGTCCGAGTTTATACGAAACTGGTGGAAGGCCAACATGCTTGAATTTAGTTGTATGGCAAAGGTAGCACAAGATCACCTTGCTATACCGGCAGCAGAGGTAGATATCGAGAGATTGTTCAATGGTGGGAGAGATGTGCTGGGGATTCGACGTTTCTCCATGAAAGGTAAGACCCTTGGGACCTTATTAAGGCTGAAAGATGCTGCACGTTGGAAGTGTTCATAGTTATACAGTAATAGTTTTTTTGGGCATACAGGTGTTTGATATTCTAGACCTTATTTGCAGAAGTATTCTTGTAGGGGCCGGCCATCTCGAAAACTCGTTCCACAAACCCTTTTTCCTAGAAAGGCTAGATATTAGTTCGCGAACCTGTTCGAAATTCGCGAATTTTGACGAATCGAATCGGTCATAGATTCGAAGCCCCGAAACCAAGGTTCGAATTCGATTCGATTCGCCGAAATTCGCGAACTTCGAACAGTTCGAAAATTCGTGCGGAGCGGTAGTAGTCACGTCTACGACACACGCAGAATACATTGGACAGTATAATGCCATTCTGCATCTGCAGTGGCTCCGCACCTTTCTGGCTGAAACACAACTGTATCGGTCTCCGGTCACCAACATCATGGCTGACAACCAGTCCGCCATTGCTCTTCCTCGCAACCCGGAATTCCACAAACGGACGAAGCATTTCAACGTGAAATTTCACTATCAGCGAGCCGTGCTGGATACAGGCGAGATTGGGCTTCAATATGTTCCGACTGAGGAACAGGCCGCAGATGGTCTCACCAAGCCATTAGGGCCCACGTCCTTTGCCAAGTTTTGTAGTCTCTTAGGCATCGACGCCTCAGAAACTCCAAAGCAACATGCATGACAGCACAGGTGCTCCTTCCACTTTCTTTTCCCACGGAGGTTTTTTGAGTGGTTTTACCGAGGCCTGCCTGCTCAGCTTAAATCCAGTATCGTCATTGCCAGCAATACGATCCTGAGGGGAATGTTGTGATCTGAGGCTGGTGCAGATCAGGAACCAAGCCGAACCATCGGAATTAGCTCCGAAGTGTCTATACAGACGACCAAGTTGATTTCCAATCAACTTGGCTAACTGTTGTATATACAGGCTCATGTATCCCTCTGAAATTACAAGTCAATTCATACCTCTGAACAACAACACTTTCTTTTAGGGGCAGTGCCGCACTATCTGTGCTGCATTGGCAGAAAGAAGTCACGTGGGTATTTCAAGATTCCGGATAAGCCTAACACCTGATTCGTTCAACTCTACACACCAATGGAATCTGTCGGAACGTGGTCGTTACAGTACGGACTAGTACGGGCATAGCCAATTGAGTACTTGAGAGTGTGATTTTTATATACTATAGAAAGTGCAGAATAAATAGGGGATGAGCTTAGTAAGGTCGTTGAGAGCCTTAGGATCATCAGGCAGATGGGGGTGCTGAATATTCCGGGCGCACTAGTAAAATTGCGACCCTCTTTTGTTGACAACAGATATATTGGAATCTCTAACTAAAATGACAAAACCCGCGTTTTCAACAATCTGTGCGGACATAGATGACTAACTGTAATATGCACTTTTGTATGGTATGGATGGTACCATGTGTCACATGATACTCAGAGTATTTTACCCTGTTTCCACCATGTATTCAATCTTAGTATTCGACATCCCACTTTAATTACCCCATACAAAAATGCAAAACCCTAATCCGACTGAGGGCTCAGTCGGCCCTCCCCCATGGGATAGTGTAATCAAAGAAGGTCATAATGACGACCCTATAAATTTTATTAGTTCAGACCGGCGGAATAACTATGTATTACACAATTTTTCGATCAGAAATGAAGGTTTCCGTAATTAGAGTGGTGCTGTAGCACAGCTCACCTGAATCCGAGCTGGCCCGAACCCGCCGGGGACACATCATCAGGTCAACCCGGTAGCACCGAGCCAGTATCTCAAATGAGATAAGAAGTTCATCAAGATCAAGGTGACGAAGAAAGCTCTGAAACGTCCTTCTACATCCTCATATAAGCCTTACTGCCGGAACGAACCGTTTTAAAGAATCCGAGCTGGTCGGGGACCTATTCTGCAGATCCACCCGTCGGCCGGTCTCCTCGGTCAAGGGAGACGTCGAAGGAAAACTTGTGCAAGGGAGTTCGTCTGGAAAAAAGAACTTTGAACTCCCAGCTTCCTCGGAGCGCAATCACAGAAGACCCGGAGTTGCTTTGCCCACTCCCACCACCACCGCTTCGTGGACCAGCGGATGTTGCTTGATGTAGCCTTCAATGGAAAGTGGCAAGACTTTTTCGCGGTTGGCGAGGGTAACGCAGTCGTCCAGCGGCAACAGAAACTTCCAACGCCCCTGGATCGTAGGATGAGGAGTGTATACCCCCTTAGAGTGGAAAGACCCGGGTAGGTCGTCTGAATTGGATGTGGTCAGGGCCGGATGACCGGCCAGGAAAACGTATTCGTAGAGTGGTTCAGTCTCGCTGATGGGCTTCATCCAAAGGTATGTTCAAGTACACATTGTCTCAGCCTAGCCTAACCAATGCACTTGTTAGATGGCTTCCCACCTAGGACATAGGACAGCCTCAAGAGTAATTCGCTGCGATATATATACTTCGATTATCTGCTTTCATTGAGCTACATATTATCCTTCCACGCAATATATTGGTACGTAAGATATACTGTAAATATTGCCACCAAGAACGCTCCCAGGCCGAAAGCAGATGAGCTATCCGACATGATTGCTGCATAAAGGATCACGCCGACGCCGATTGCCAACAGTATGATGAGTATGCAAGGTAAAATGATGACCCAATTCAGACTCTCGTTTAAACGGATGCCCCATCCAATCACACGATGCTCATTATTTCTGGGTAGCCGAACCAATGGATCTCGGAGCTTTTTCGGAAATGTGGTTATCCAGAATCTGTCAGTGTGAGGTCCCGGCTTCAGCAGGTGTTGCAATGGAATATCGAAAAATTCAACGTCTTCCACTGGGACTGGTTCGTAAAGGTATCTTCTTGCCTTTACTTCGGCTTCGGGTGGAAATTCTCTCTTGAACCATCTGGGACAATATTTCATTCCAATAGGAACAAGTGAAAACTGGGAGGGTGCGTAAGTCTACTGGATTGATCTCCATAAATTCCGATTGCAAGAAAAATAGATTATACGTACCCGGACAAAATCTCCCGATGCGACTCTGAAAAGATGCATTTCAGGAAGGATAGAGCGAAGTATGGAAGGGAAATGAAAGGGCCTCGACAATAATGGGAGCCTTGTCAGCCACGTAGAAGCCGCACGAAAGAAGGTGTGCATCCATAATGGTATTATCATTGAAAGCCTGAATTCATGTTTATCACGATGTGTCTGGTACTCCTGATACACTTGCTGAAAAAAGTATTGGTCGTTGGTTAAAGAACCGACTTCAACATGGACCAACACAGTTGAGTTCTTCGTGTTCATACACAAGAGAACGAATTGAAGATCCTGATTCTGGTTTGTGCTGCCAGCTTCGGTATCCTCAGGCTGAGAAGATAGAGATGACCAACGATGTGGGACCCTCAGGTTTTCCGCATTTTGGCTGGGCAGGCTTGAGCTCAAGCTGAGATTCAAATGTGCCTGAGGTGGGGGTTCTAGTCGACTTGAACCAGGTAAAATCTGTGTGTGACTACTAACAGCAGCGACGCTCTTAAGGAGTCTTCGCCGGAACCTCTCAGTCCCACCGGCCGACAGCTCTCTAACATCGAGATATGAAAGTTCTCCACAGCCCTAGAACAATATCAACGCGGGTTTCAGTGTGAAACGCAAGAGAACTCACGCATGCGTACGAAATACGTTGATAGCCGGCTGCTGGTGGGGCGTAGATGTTCATAAACCGAAGCCACCATGATGATAATATTGTCATTTCCCCTGTCTGTGTAGAATCTACTGTAACTTTCGCCGTGGGACTGTCACTGCTTTCCAGGGGTTGGATAGAGTCGTCAGTATCTATTTCCAACGGCCTGGGTTCGGCAACATGGTTTAGTCGGCAATCTATAACTCATATTAATAAAATTGCAGAGCAATCGTTGATGAATTGATATCTAACGTTGTGCAGTTTTTAGGTCTGAAGGATTGCAGTTTTCGTGGATTGCAAGAGACTCCTCAATTTTTTCGCTCAGACCGTTGCGGCTAACCCTCCTTTTGACTTCCGTGCATTCTTGAAATCCTTGATGTAGGCCGGGGGATACATTCGTTGATACCATGAACTCTTTCACCTCTTCAAGGGTGCCAGTTGAGTTTTGCAGATAATTCCCTGAAATAGGCGAATCGCTATCCGCGGACAATTCGTCGGCATCAGAATCAGAATTCGGACGACCTCCTGTCTGCGAGTTTTCTTCTTTGATAGCCAGTAACCCCACTTTCGGCAGTTCACCACTATCAATAACCTTATTTTTGGGCGCCTTATTGCGATCTTCCGTCACATTGTTGCCGTCTTCTTTGCACAGAATTGATCCAATGTTCAACTTCATATCACGAGGTCTCCATCCATTGTCCAACGACTGTCTGATTTCCCTTCGCCAAACATCAGCGTATGCATCTTTCCAGCTCTCGATAAAATCCTCTGCTTCTTTCTTGGTGTTAAAACGCTCATGGCACGCAATGGTTCCTTTGCTCGCTTTTTCAGCCTCACTATTCCTGTGAGTGGACAGGTTCTAGTCATTGAAAGAAGGAGACTTACTCCCAATGAGTGAAAACCCCAGTAGACTCGCCACCTGCAACAGCGTAGTATTTGACATTTTTCGATGGCCTGGCCTTTCTCTCGGGTGCATTTTTGGTAAAATCATCGAAGTCCTTGATGCCTTTTGATTCCATTGCGGCGCAGGCATTATTGAGGTTGTCGAATCGCTCGTGATCGGCGCTGTCGCAACCTATCACTCTCGGTTGCACTTGACTCCTAGACCATTCGAAAGTTAAAAGTCATTCCTCGCTTTCTATGTTGGGCTCATAGTTACCAAGAAGAATATATGGCAGGCTTGTCAACGCGACCGTCATAGACGGCGTAGAGCCCTTTCTTTTGGCGGAGTTGTGGAGCCATGAGCAGGCCAATCTGTCAAATACTCGACTGTGAAATTATTGCTCTGTATATTTGGTTCGAGTAATGAAAGCCGAGAGCGTGGAAGAAGCCTGATTTTACATGAATGTGAACGACATTACGGGGAAGATAGGTTGTAGTCCCGCGGACAGCTGACGAATTTCGGAAGGCAATTGACTGACATATTTATCGATGAGCTGACGAAACGTGTCGGTATGTCAATGGACGGCCTTGGTTGCTGAGTGGGGGTCTGCGGCGCTACTATACTAGTTTGAAGGCGTTGATTGGCCGAATTTCAAAACAGGGCCTGAGAAAGAATATCTTTGTGCAAGTGGTGAAACTAATCTCGATCCATCCTCTATCTCTCCGAATTCGGGACTCGGTACCCGTTGGAGAGAACACTTCGAGGCGTGGATCGCATCATTCTCGATCGACTGTCAAAATATATTAGTTGTGGTTGCGTGCCGAGCGGGAGCTAACCCCGCACCGATGACGGACCCACCTACGGGAGGGCCCGAACCCCTTCCCACAAACACCCAAGAAACCCACTCCAGCTTCTCAGTTTAAACCACGCTCATCGAATCCACCAACGCTGACCTAGAGGAGGTCAAGCATGATCAGAACATCATCCGCAACCAGAATGAGAAGCTACATGAGGAAGTCCGAGCGCTGCGGGTGCAAATTGAAACTCTCCCATCCACACCGCCGACCATATCATTAAGCGCTGTTCATAGATCTTCGGTCAATTCCCGAAAGAAGTCCTCTTGCTACATACACGATTTGTTTGCTACATTGTGTTTGCCCTGAAAATTTCAAGTCCATCCAGGAGTCTCATGTACGGGACTCTAGACATCGAGAATCATGGAAAAACTATGGAATCCTCCAAATTTTCAATAAGAAATTGCTCCACCAAACCTGGCTCAATGGACTTTAAAACGGAGATTTACAAAATCTACTACTGGGAATATAACTTTGTAAAGTTTGAGCATGATCTGACGCCAAATACTAGAACGAGTGGGGGCATCAAAATTAAAGCGAGTGGCCGTGGGCCCACTTTTTCTTTCCCATAGTTAACTCCCAGACCCTAATCCGAGTCACGGTGACTCCTCCCACCCCCATGGGGTAGAGTTTCCAAGGACTCAATAACTTCGCCATTCGTCAGCCTCTTCAAATCGGATGGACCTTGTCCTTTCTTTTGCTGGTTCGCCATGGTAGGCTCAAGGATGAGTGAAAATGAGCGCGGGGATGTTTTTCTGGAAAGAACAACCAAGGGACCAAGGCAGCAGTGTTCAAGTCGTATGGCAGGTTACGGGGTGCAATCCAAAACAGTTCTGACGGTTCCGCGCGGAACCATCAGAATTGGTTTTGTTTAGCGCCACATCTAGTGGTTGGCAGGAAACTCAATGTGATAGACATGCAGAAAAGGGGCCAGTGCCTCTGCATATCACTATCACGCTCACTTGGTATTTTCGAACTCCTTTACTGGTCGCAAGAAGCTATTGTACACGAATTGCTCCCAGGCGCTTATGCATGTGATGGACAGGTCTTACTGGCTTCTACCGTGCATAGCCACATGTAATGCTTCGAGCCATTGGCCAGTTATACAGCCTTGGAATGATACGAATGCTCCTAGGATATATCGCTGTGATATACAATAAAATTAGTGTACGCCTATCAGATTGATTGACTACAAAGGACAAGGAATCGATGTAGCAATGTCTCAGACTCATGGAGCCTCTCAAGGTCCAGCTGCTTGCCGGTACCTATGATTTCGTCGATGTCTCTCTGTCTTCTACGATCCGGGGCAGTACTTGCTCCCCTGGCACCAGACTGCGTATGCCTGAAAATTATTGTTATAACGCAGAGCCTTGCGGTCGCCTAGCACTGACTCTTCGTAAACGATCATCATAAAGCTCTGTGCCATTCAAATAGGAAGGAGGGCAGGGCGCAATAAATGATTAGCCGGCTGGGAATGGTTGAAATGAAGAAATAGAACCACAAAAAGATTAATCAGATCAGGCCAGGAACTCTCACGAGGCCATCTCTGTATGAGTACTTGCGGTCTATTGATAAAGCCTTGTAAGCTTCTCGCAATCTGCCAGTCGCGCTTTTTCATCGACATCCTTCCACCCTTCAAAACAAAGACAACATGTCGGACAGCATTCTTAAAGCAGATAGTAGCTCTTCTCAGCAAATATCATGTATTGTGAGAAGGACGATTTCTTCTCAGGCACTCGGTGGTGAACTAACAATGATCCTACAGCGTCATTATGCCACCATCTTGATTGACCAAGATGGCAAAGTTGGATTCATGGCATCCGCATCAATTACAGGCTAAAAAAACACCCTTTTTAACCCTGAGATGCGACGGGAATTTGTTCGTATAGCAAGGGAGGCAGACGGGCCAGACTCGCGAGACTGAAAATTGAACTGTCTACAACGCTGGTAGATGATAGGACATCCTGTAAAGTTGGTAATCTAGACAATATCCGTCACTGGAGTCTAAATCTGACCGTAGTAGCAGTCGTACAGAGTCGCGCTGGGACTTGTGGCCGTCGTGCGCACGGCCATGATTTTTCCCCAGAGACTTTCTAGTTGCTCAAATCCGTCCGAACAGATTGAAAATCACACACTAAGCCCGATGCGACTGTCTTTCCCTGAGAATTTTGAATCGATTGGTTGCAAGCTGGTACATTTCTGGCCCTGTCATGTGGGAACTTCACTGGCGTATAGGCATTGCATCCCGCAATGAATACGCAGAAACTAATTATCCGAGGTTGTAGAACAAAAGCACGCCATCATCATTTCGAACATAATCACTCTGCTTCAAGGAAGATGTATAAAAAACACCTCCATGATCAAAGACTTGGCACGAATATGTCAAAGCTTGAGAATCGGAGCTAAAATCTTACCAACAATTGTCGGTACCTGCCCACGCCGATGACAGAATAGAGAGCGAGAAAGTAAGACGGTTCCATTACATAGAGACGTCTTGGCTAGAACAAAGCGGTATCTTTATCCATGGGACACTGGGCTCTCATATTATAAATATCTTTTACTCCTATCAGCGACAATAGAACTATAATAATAAATAGGTAAATAAGTGACGGCAGGGAGAGTGGAGTGTAGATCCGATGAAATGTACAATCTGCTCAGCCGAGGTTTGAATTAAACAGTTGAATTACACACACACACACACACACGCAGAGTAAGTTGAAACGTCTCTTGATGGACACATCGACTATTCCAACTCATGACAGTAGTACAACGGCATGACTGACTAATTTAGGAATGGGTTCCTATACGTATAGCTCGCCAGAGTATGAAAAAGAGACCGTTGGGTGTACTCGGATAGGGAGGGGTATGCGAGTCGTGGCACAAAGTGATTGGTTGTCTTGCACGCCTGGCCTGCAGTATAGTTTATCAGACCTAGCCCCGCGACTGTCGAGAATAATAAAATGCTCACTAGCAACTACACTAATGACGGTGAAATGGCTGCGACTACCTTATACTCATGTGCGGACCTGGGTTGCAACAAAGATAACAGATACTCGTGCAGTAACTGCAAGCTAGTCTCGGTAAGTTTCAAGACTAATGTTGTGATTGTCTAACATCTATGATAGTACTGTGATAAACGCTGCCAGATAGCGCACTGGCCAGAGCATAAATTAATCTGCAAGTCGAGTTTGATGAAGCATAATTGGAGCCCATGTTGGGAAAGAGAAAAACGGACGCCAGCATTTGCAAGCCCACAACTTGCGAGTAACCACCATAATCCGTTTGGCAAAGGGATATATCTGTGGGGTAGCGTTCCAGCAATTGATGTTCTCAATTTGGTACAAAATGAAGGCAATGACTTCTCTTGAGATTTCACGATACTTTTTGCTGGTTAGTTAGCCTTCTTCGTTCCAACATAGGGTATTGCGGCTCACAATACTAAGCATCTGGTGATTTACGCAACGTGGTCAAAACAATCTCCGAGCTTCCTCAGCCCTTCGCGCAACGAATTGATTTGACTATTAACGACCAGGATTTTCACGTCGTTGCGAGGAATGCCATAATACTCCTTTTTTGCCTTACGGCACTAGAGATTACTTCCATACCCTCCGGTGGCTTTACTAATGCTGAGTCTTTAATTCACCTCTGGTACTCTGCCTCCTTACCAAAAGATATCATTACTCAGTTAGGATCGCGTGTAAAACCTCTATTTACTGAGGTCTGTGGACAAATATCTGCCGAAGCTACTGGGGAGATTGTGGAGAGGACCTGGAGTTTTCCTCGTAAGAGAAGCCTGCGACTTGCTCTTAGGAAAGAGGAATGGTACCGACTAGAGGCACTCTGCGAAGTTCCTCCAGATCTAACACAGCAGAAAGCTTTGCATATCCGGACGGCCACAACATTAGCTCTGGAGAGGCGAGACTTTCGAGATCGATGGTACTTCAAAGACACCACCACACCATCTGTACGTTTTTCAAAGCAGAAGTTTCGTGAAGATGGGCTTCTTCTTCCATTTGGACATGATAGGGCCGATTTCAGCAGCCCAAGTCCGTAAGTATCAGAATCACCAACTCTCGAACAACCGGCTTACACTCGTGGCAATATACCAGTACATTCTACTTGCCTCCATTTCTCTGGCCAATGGATGACAAAGCCGACCCTTTAGATGGGTGGCCAATACGAGAAGTTGCTCGAGAGCAGACTGTTGTGATATGAGGCTGGTGCAGATCAGGAACCAAACTGCACCATCGGAATTAATCCCGAGTTATCTATACGAAGAATCAAGTTGGTTTCCAATCAACTTGATCTTCTCGTTGTATATATAGACTCATGTTTCCTAGCAATAATAATCAATTATTCCTCTGAACTACAACACTTTGGAAAGCAATAGAAAAGGAGCGAAAGAGAAGCAAGATAATGGCTAGCGTTGGGCCGCAAAGCCGAATGATGAGATAAGGGAGGCAGACTGGACCATATTATTATGTATCCAAAAATTATTATGTACGCAAGGCAGAGAAAGTCCTTATTGGGATTTCATGCATCTACGAAGAAAACAAGAACACTGCAAAAAGACTTGTAAATTGAGTATTGTTGTTGTTCAGAGGTATGAATATTACTTGTTATTTCAGAGGGATACATGAGCCTATATATACAATAATTTAGCCAAGTTGATTGGAAATCAACTTGGTCGTCTGTATAGACACTTCGGAGCTAATTCCGACGGTGCGGCTTGGTTCCTGATCTGCACCAGCCTTCATGCGTCATGTATATATAATGGATATATCAGCGCACCAAAACAGGCCCCAACCGCTGTGAAGTGATCAAATAGCCGTGCCTTCCAGTGCCCCCCCCCCACCGCCTTCGGGATGGGGGTGCACCACACCGGAAAACCAATTCACACCGGAAAACCAATTTTGAAGCTATTCACATTAATTACTGCTTTTCACCCTGAGTATCTATCCAAAAAGTCTCCCCTCCCTGCCGCACTACCACCACTGTATCTGACAATATAGAACTCTCCCCGGTAGGCGACTTGGGTGGCGGTTGGCCGTACAATTTTGTCCACTGTTTATCCAACCTCTTCTTCTCTTGTACAGCTTCTTTCTCTCTCCTGGTCTTCATTGATCGATTGGCATCTTTTGTACCGAGTATACCAGAGTCTCCGATCTTAGGAATCTCTCTTTTGGTGATTTGTCGCTTCCGAGGGGCCTGTATCTCCCTCATTCGACTAACTGTATCGCTCATCATCGCAAGCTCTTCCGCCGTACGTTTATGATGGTAGAACGCACGTTGTAGGCCTCGTTGGAGCTTTGGTGTGAGGGCCTCTGTAGTGAATATCTTCGAAAGCTTTTTTTGATTCTTCTCGAGGTCTTGGGCACTCTTTGGAGGGGTGTTTTCCACGCTAGAAGAAGAGATATTCGGAGGAGGTGTTGATTCACCGTATGCATAAAGATCGGGCGCGAAGAGGTCTGGTATCGGCGGAAGTGTATCTTGAAGTTTTTGAATAATAGTATCGCCATTCGGAGGGTATATACCACGTTCTTTAAAAGAATTTCGAATGATTCGCTGGTTGAAGGTCTTGTTGCGTACGCTCACGATGTCCTTAAGAAAATCCGCCTTCCGCGCGGGGATCCCACCCCACTGAGAAATGAGGTTATTTTGCTTGCGAAAATGTTGTTTATAAGCAAGAAAAGGCTTGCCATCAAGAGGCTGGCAAATATGAGTCGTATGAGGCCGAAAACAAAAAGGGATAATGTCGTAATCCTCGCAGAGTTGAAGAAATTCGACGGTCTTATGGGACTCATGACCATCGAATATCAATACACGTTTTTCACCCCTCTTTACTTGATCTTTTGTAGCTTCATGAAATTTTTGAAGCCATCCAATAGCAAGGAAGTCATTGATATATCCTTTAGGCGAAACAGCCGTCCAAAAGTGTGGTAGATCAGGGTGATCATACCAACTTTCCATGAACTTCTCGCCTTTAAAAATAAACAGCGGCTCCATAATCCACCCATCAGCAGCGATACACTCGATCGCTGTGATATTTTCAGTATGATCGAACTCAGCGAGATTAGGGCATCTTCCCTTCGTGCCAATAACCTTCCGAGCCCTTCCCTGGCCGGGTTGGAAGCCGCATTCATCGAAGTTATAGATTAAGTGTGATGGGAGACCTTTGAGTACGTTCGCAAGCTGATTATACCAGTGCTGTAGGTATCCTACATCTTCTGCTTCAAGACGTTTCTTATCCTTCGTTCTCTGTGTCACAGGGCCTAACATAAGATGTGGTGGAAGTCTTTTCTCGAAACGATACGCCCACATCTTACTGACTTCATGATTTGAACCAGCACGCACGAGAGCCCGATTCGCCCACTCTGTGAGCATCTCAGGGGTAACGGGGAGGTATAAATCACGCATACGAATGATCCACTGGACTAGAGCTTTCTCCTGATACTCATCAAGAGCTTTATTCTTAGGTGTATAGGCGTTACGAGCCTGTCGTCCCCGGCGAACGCGACCGCGCAGTATCTCATACGGAATGTCATATTCCCGCGCGATCTTCGCAAGATTCGGTTTCTTTTCGCGCTGGGCGGCTTCGCAGGCCTCGAGTACATGGGATTCGTCTATTTTGGGTGCCTTTGGCATGGTGGGTAGGTGGGAATAAAGTCAAGAAGATGAATGGCTTCAAAATTGGTTTTCCGGTGTGAATTGGTTTTCCGGTGTGGTGCACCCCCATCCCGAAGGCGGTGGGGGGGCACTGGAAGGCACGGCTAGAGTTCTGTACGAGAGAAAGTTGGTACATGGAGATAGAAAGTTGCTTATTCGTTCGATATTCAATGGCCTTTATGTAGGCGGTGAACGGAAAACAATCATAAAGACGTGGTTGAACCAGATAAGACTTCTGCGTGGCTACCCAATCTATACTAATGTGCCATATTTGATTCGCAGTGGTCAAGCAAGTTCTTCATGGTCATATTGCCTTCTTTTGCCTAAAGATCTGCTCCAGGCATGGACGGGAGAGAAGGAAGGCAATTCGTCACAACTCACGTACTATCTCGGCAGCATGAGGTATATATTTCCTCACCTCAGTTCATCAAGATGCTCATCGGATGTCACTCTTTTATCTCGTCTTGAATAAAGCAAACACCGAGTTGTCTTTTATGGGCTTCAATAAGCGTGGGCCGATATGACTCCTTTTCAGGACACATTCGCTGATCTCCCAATCAAGCCGAGAGATGCGTTCACAGGACATCCTCCGACTAATTCCTTTTCTCCGATCCTCGGCACCACCAATTCAAACAATATGGGCGAACATCGACAGCAGAAGCTCTACACTCGAGAGCCTGCGCATCTAGATACACCGGGAATTCTGTCTGCGGGTCTTCAGGAAGTCATCGATGCAAATCAGGCTCTATAGAGTACCTTGTGTCACGATTACTGGAATGCCGAATGTCAGATTCCTGGTCGTATTCCTTCTGGTGATTCCTTTGGTGTGCCTAGCGCAGTGATCAATACAAATCATCATCATGCGGGCATGACGAGTAACTGGAAGTCTGAAGAAGCTGAGATGCCTTTAGATAAACAGATCACTCCTTCGCCATATGACGGATTGTACTACTGCCAACGCGAGAGTTGTCGACAGAGAAATGGCTATATTCTTAAATGTGAGCTACGGTAGGTTTTAAATTCGACGCCAGATTGATGCATTTTTAACGAATACCAGGAAACATGTACGGACACATACTCGACCGTTCAAATGTGCCACCTGCTCCTATGCTGCTGCTGAGGGCCTCCCGGGAGTCATGAAGCCATTTACCTGCACCTTATGTGGCGAGAGATTCACACGAAAAGACAACGCTTTGAAACACCATGGAGTCAAACATGGAGCACCTTAAAAAGTTTTGTTAGGAGAATTCGGATAATAGTATCATTGTATATTCTTTGATTTTGGTCGTCGTATGGTCTGATTCTGCTCATTATTGTAGGAGGGGCTCGCATTTGCAAAGCCCGTGTTGAGATTCATGAGACTAGTTAACTAACGTATTTCACATGCGAGTGGATCACACAAGCGAGTGAATCACCCCCAAACACAGTAAATGCGATATATTCTACATTTATATCTCAACAACCATGTTTTTACTTTATCTCCTTATTTCTCGATAGTTATTGATAAGACTCATTAGCACCATTTATCAATTTCAAAGAAAGTAGAAGGTTATATTATCATCATTTCAAAAAATACCGAAAATTACGTTGCTAAAAACTGGAAATATATATATCACAATCATAAAGTCATAAACTTTCCCCAAACTCCCTAAAGATGCTAGATATCACCTAAAAAGCATTAAACTATAAAGAAATCTCCATATAGTCTATCGTTGTTGAGATATCAAGTTGTAATTTATCGCATTTAGTATGTGTTTTGGGGTGATCCACTCGCTTGTGTGATCCACTCGCATGTGAAATACGTTAGTTAACTAACTAGTTAGTTAGTTAACGTGTTTCACTACCGAGCTGCGCACACCACCGAGTTGCGCACCCCACCCAAAACGCGTCCATGAATTAGCACTTAGTCAATTCAACCACCCACCATGCCACCAATTCGCTCCCGAAGCTCTAGAAATTCAATAGAGCAAGAGGGTAGGATATTATTAGCTATCCAGGCTTTTAAAAATCAAGAAATCAGCGCTATTCGCGAAGCAGCACGCCGTTTTGAAGTGCCTGAATCAACCCTCCGGTCGCGTCTTCGTGGCACTACTTTTCGCGCTGAAACCCGCCCTAACAGTCATAAATTGACAGAGCTCGAAGAGGAATCTCTTCAAAAATGGATACTCTCTATGGATTCTCGTGGAGCAGCCCCCCGGCCTACTATGGTACGAGAAATGGCGAATCTTCTTCTCGAAAAGCGCGGATCTATACCGGTTCTTTCGGTCGGCCAAAATTGGGTTACGAAGTTTGTTAAAAGGCGCCCTCTCCTCTCCTCTCGATTCTCGAAACGATATAATTACGAGCGTGCGAAATGTGAAGACCAGAAAATCATTAGGGAGTGGTTTGATTTGGTTCAAAAAACGATCCTTCAATTTGGAATCGATCCCGATGACGTTTATAACTTTGACGAGACCGGTTTTGCTATGGGATTAATAACGCCAACTACGAAGGTTGTTACGAGGAGTGATTACTACGGCCGGAGAGCACTTTTACAACCTGGAAATCGAGAGTGGGTGACGGTGATTGAGTGTACGGGTGCTTCCGGCTGGGTGCTTCCTCCGTGTGTGATTTTTAAAGGAAAGGTCTTCCTTGAATCCTGGTTTAAAGGCCTTCCGAAAGATTGGCGCCTTGAAGTAAGCCCTAACGGTTGGACTTCCGATGAAATTGGGCTTCGCTGGCTTGAAAAGCTCTTTATTCCTACTACTTTTTCACGTACGAAGGGGAGGTATCGGCTTCTAGTACTTGACGGTCACGGAAGCCATTTAACCCCGAAGTTTGATGAAATCTGTGAGAAAAATCATATTATACCAATCTGTATGCCTCCGCACTCCTCTCACCTTTTACAACCTCTCGATATCGGCTGTTTTGCGGTGTTAAAACGTGCGTACGGCGGGCTGGTTGAATCAACAATGCGGGTTGGGATAAATCATATTGATAAACTTGATTTCCTCGAAGCATACCTAGAGGCTCGAATTGAAGCTTTTAAAACGGATACTATTAAAAGCAGCTTTAGAGCTACCGGTTTAGTACCGTTTTCACCTAATCAAGTGATTTCAAAGCTAAATATTCGGCTTCGAACACCAACCCCCCCCCCTAGCCGGGGTAGTGAATCAAGCCGGAATTTTACGCCGAAAACCCCCTTTACGGAGAAAGAACTACGTCGACAGGCTTCATCGATTAAAGCTTTACTTCGTACAAGATCTCGAAGTCCACCTAGCCCGTCAGATCGAGCATTAAACCAGCTTGTGAAAGGCTTCCGTCTTACAATGCAAGGTGCTATCTTACTTGCTAAAGAAAACAAGGAATTACGCGCCGCCAACGAGAAGCAGAAGCAAAAGCGCACTCGATCCCGAAGGCAGATACCAGCTGAAGCAGGGCTCTCAGTTCAAGAAGCTTCTCAATTGATTACTGAGCCGGTGGTAGCAGTTGAAGCACCCCCCGCTCCCTACGAAGAAGGCCTTCGCCACCTTTACAACCACGAACGAGAGCATTACCAACGTGCGGGCTATGTCAAAACCAGGGTCATAGAAGAGATGCATGTCCAGATAGATGATGATTTTAGTGTATTTAATTTAATGGAGTTTTGGTTGAGATATATGCATTTGAAATTAATAGGTTAGGTTGGGTGCGCAGCTCGGTGGTGTGCGCAGCTCGGTAGTGAAACACGTTAGTTATGAGATCTCATTGCCTGATTTATCAGGCCTGAATCTCATTATCAGCACCGAACCACTATGAAGCTTGTTTTCCGTGGAACCCTTCATAGAAGGGGACCACAATTCATCTCGCTTCTGAGCGAGCACACAAAACATGTCTATAAATACTAGGTGAGCTACATAGTATAGATAGACAGACTTAAACAATCTCTTTCTGTCGGGATATATCCCTCTATCAGAACAAGCCAGCGTCTGATAGATCACATTTCTGTGTATGTAACCTTGCGCTAAGCTGCGGTTCCGGCTTATGGGATTGAGGGGTACTTCGAACCTGAGCTGGAACACACATCTATCATACACGAATCAATCAACCTTTGCTTTGGAAGCATAAACTGTTCACTTAACTGTGTACACGGTACCTAGCTGGTGATACCAACAGTATGATGTCCAGCAATTGGCTTTCTTGTACAATCTTGCAAAGACTACAGCGTATAAGAACCTGAGTTGGCCTGATATGGAGACTTTCATTAAGATTCACGGCGATTCTCATATATTCATTGGTTCTCGGCCAAAGAATGCTAGCGAGTCTTTGAATAGGCTTGAATTAGCCACAGGCATATCCTCCATTGCCCAGTTTGCCCGCAATCCCCGCAACAGACGAGATTTTCATCGCCCTGATGGAAAGAATCCCAGAGTACTGACGCCAACAAGTACCATCGCGAACTTGTTCCGGGCCCAGTATGTCGCTGGTTTTAAGGAGGATGGCGGCATTAGAAACATTGACAAGGTTCTGGATACGCTTTCGCAGGAACCGTGTCTCAAGGCGACCAGTGAAGAGCTTAAGCCATCCAATCTGCAAATCATGTTCCAGCGGAAGTGGTCCCATACCCGCAACATCGGCACCCTGCAGCTTCTCACCCTCTTGAAGAGCAGGTTGTTCAAAGAGGAGCCTTTACTCTTGTTCAACTACTTTGGCATGCACAAGCGCTCCTTGGAGCTGTTGAGGCTAATCAAAGCGAAAGAACACCAAAAATTTGTCCAATATTTCACGACTGGGTATATGCCAGATGAATCTTTCATCTCAAACATTATGATTTTAATCCATCACAATGCGCGAGGCTCGGCACGAGATGCGCGTGCAATGGGACTCTCCTCCATGAACACTGGCAGTCAAGTTGGCAGTCGAATTGTCATGAGCTGTGGCAATGTCATGCAGGAGTATCTGCGGAAGAATGGAGATGTGGCATGCAAAGAGCTGAGGGTTTTCTGTAAGAATAAAAAGCCAATCAAGGATGAGATTGACTGTGATAAAGGCAGGTCTGAAGAGTTTTACTATTGGTTTGGTATTGAAGAGGCTTTGGAACCAAAGGTTCTCGCCTCGCTCATGACTGGGATCCCAATAGCTTAGGCTGATGGCTCTGACATTGCGACATTTTTTCGGAGCTTCGCTCCTAGTTTCAACAATCGACGCATGCCCAGATATGACCATAATTTTTTTTTCAAGTAGCACCAGATATGGTAATTGCCATGGTGAAACGCTTTTTGTGGATCAGAGACAGAAATATTATGTAAAGCATTCGAACAACTAACAGCCAAGATATTTCAGACTATCTACATCCGGGTGGCGCAGTAGGTACATTACTAGTTACCATAATCAAATTACATCTAGGTTGGGGTTCATCTCCGCAAACGTAGTGCGTAGCACTACCACTGATTACCTGTCTAGAGATCCATAGACACATCGTTCCTCGCCCCGCATAAGTACAACGCTCTCCATCAAGTTCTGGTAGTAATTAGCACATACCGGATAGACAGAGATTGACGAAACCTGTGTTTTGTACATCGGTCTTTGCATGCTGTATTGAGGCTTGTCGAGCGCCACTTTCGATCTTTCCAGAAGACATAGATCCGTCATTCACCATTTGCTAGCTAGATAGATAGTCAGGCCGCTTGCTTCCTGTAGGAATCAACTCTCTCCCTCCTTTCCTTTGGTCCCTACATAGTAGAGCTCAAGAGTTTTCCTGAGCACTCTTGTCACTAAAATGGTTGGAAAACGTGTGAGGTCCCTGGACTTCCTTCTCCGCCACCGCAATGGATATATGTCAGAGTTTAGGGTTATACATAACAGTAATGAACTGCCTTGAGCCAGCAAAATATTCATTTTGTTTGGGCAAATCGCGGAATATTGTCCAAAAGCCGATTCTTGCGAGGAAGACGCGGGATAGGCCCAAGCAATTAGAATCGCAACCCGTATACGGATAAGGGCGGCATCAAATGTCGGAGGATAGAAGATTGGAGCAGAATGCGCCCATGGAGTACTATCTCGGGCAACGCAAAACGATCAGTTATTGATGACAAATAATATTAACGCCAGGGTATCTTCAACTACAATTCTTGGAACAACGTTTTTTTATCATCATCCTTCAGAAACTCCCAGGGCGTTCTTCCTAAACCATGGCCAGTACACGTCGCTGGTCCACTTGGCGAGACGTTGCAAGCCCCATACCGTCTTGTATACCCCAAGAAGATTGCTAGTCGACCCGAACCCTTGCTCCAACCATAGCAATGTAGTCTCGCCCTCCCTTGTTGTAGCTGCAAAGCTCCAAATATGCCCATGCACGACGATAGCTGGCAGGAAAGGCAGCCCGTCGAACGTACCCCCGGATTGGGCGACGAGACGCTCGAGTAGACTCCATTGGGCAGTGTGCCATGTCCCTAACTGCAGCTCCGCGGCTGCTAGGCGTTCTTCACCTTGTCGCTTCGTCTCGATGCTCACGGCAATAGGCCAATTTCGGAGACCATATTCGTCTGTGTGGTTGATCACTTGGGCGGGGAGCGCTCGGCTCACCCTCTCGATAGCGTTGTAAGCAACTTGATCCACTTCCGTATTCACACAAATGCAAAAGTCCACCATTTTACCTGTTGCACCTGCGGGTAGGTATTCTCGAATGATTTTTGCGGTTGTGCACGGTTCAAAGCCTATTAACTGACTTTGCCTTGCTGGATCATATATAGCCCTTCGTAAAAGGGGATAATGGACTGCCATGTTCCATCCAGATTCGGACCGCTTCGTATCCTGGCAATGTAGAGCCTCCTTGACCAGATCAGCGACCTCATCGAATGAAGGTGTCAGTCCGAGTTGATCGCGGTCCGCCGAGGGAGCAAACATAGAATCCCGGAAGATACGACATCCAGGTATTTGCTTCGCCTTTCCCTTGATCTCAGCCTCGAGAGTATTCGAGATGACGCCAAACCCATCATTGCAATCCTCGAGCTCGACGAGTAATTGAGATAGCGCGACGGGCAAATTTGGATCCGTCGAGTCCAGGACCTTTGTCTTGATTCTGTCGGAAGATAATTCCATGGCTCTGAGTTGCTTCAGGGGTGAAGATCGACCGGAAGCTTGCGATCGTTCTGACGACTCCGTAGCCGCCCGAATGGAGGGTGCTGGTGACTGCAGTAATGGCCCTTCTCCTTGACTGCTCCTTGCCCTCGGTGTCTCGTCAACATCTTTCATCACTCTTCGTCTCTTAGGTGTTGTAGAAGAGCTAGTTGCCATATTTTGGTGTCGTTTGCGCGATTCGGGCGGCGACGGAAGCTGCAGCTGATTCTTGTCGGTCGGGTTCAGGTTTGGCGTAGAGGTGATACCCGACGCACGGCTTGCGGGGAGTTCGAGATTGGAGATCCAATTGAGAATTTCGCACTTTTCCATGTTCTCACATTGCTCTGAATTGGTGTCTCGGATATTCGTGGTTTCAATTTGGGCATGTAGCGTGAAACATGGTGTCGAACAATCGGTGCGGGGATGTTTACATTCATCGGATGCTTGTCTCCGAGCCAACTGCTGACTCAGCCGAGACCTACCCAAGGCCCAACTTGCCGCCCAAAGTGGGGGCAATACTAAAAGATCTTTTATTACGTACGATGATGCATTTGGAATAACTAGTTAACGTATTTCACAAGCCAGTGGGCCACACAAGCGAGTGGGCCACGTCAAAACACCATAGTAAATGCGATATTTTACAACCTTATATCTCAGCAACCACGTTGTTGTTTGATTTCATTGTCATTTGATAACCATCGATAAGACTTTTGAACAGTATATATCAGTTTTAAGAAAATCGAAAAGCTGCATTATCACGGTATTGAAAATTACGCTGCTCAAAGCCAAAAATATATATATCTCAATCATGAAGTGGTAAAAATTTTCCAAAGTCCTTAGAGAGGCCAGATATCACCTAAAAAGCAGTAAGCTATAGGGAAAATTCCATATAGACTACCGTTGTTGATATATAAGGTTGTAAAATATCGCATTTACTATGGTATTTTGACGTGGCCCACTCGCTTGTGTGGCCCACTGGCTTGTGAAATACGTTAACTAGTTAACTAGTTAGTTATTCCTCAAAGGGAAATAATTATATAAGCGACTTAATCATATCCGTCGCGACCACATTACCCCGCCCAAAATGGAAGATCAAGCATCACCACTTCTTGAAGTAAATGTTATCAGAACCGCTCAATAATGCACCTTTCTATTCTTGGCCTGCCTATTGAGGTTCGACTTCAGATATATGATGAACTTCTTGTATGTCTAAAGCCTATTGCCTTTGTTAATGATGTGGGTCCTACGAATCCTCCTTACATTAGTCGGAGTTACGGCGATATCCTGCAATCCTACGAGCTTGTCGCCAACTATTTAATGAATCAATTGCGTTATTATATGGAAGGAATCGCTTCAAATTCCCCGAGGCATATATTGGTTCACCGAGCTTTGTCCTCCCAAATATTGCCCCTTTTATCCAGCAAATTGGGGAACGCAACTCAAAATGAATTCGCTATATCGCCATAGAATTCCGTGCATTCGAGGTATACTATTTTCAAAGAGCACAGGGCTCCATAGAAGCTATCGAAGCAATCTTCGGTCTCATTGGGGATAGCTTTCCGAATCTGGGCACCCTTGAAATAACGCTGTATGGTACCTTGCCTGATCAAATGCTCCATGACAGCAATGGAAAAGAGTTGCTGGATATGATCAACAGTCATCTCAAGGAAATTTTACCGCTCAGAAATATTGTCATTCAAATTCATGTCTTCGATGACCAATATGTCGCAGATGATTTCATAACGGGGATACATGACTTTGAATGGAAGTTGGAATTTAGAGAGCGAAAGAGGGAAAAGGAAATTTTCTTTGATGAACGTGGGGTCGCGTTTGACAATGAAGAGGACCTTTCTCAACGCATGTACGAAATTGAGCGGGAGGAGGAAGAAGAATTCTGGAGAGAGGAATATTGGAGAAGAAGGCAAGACCCGTTTTGGAAGAATGATTCGGATTTCGATTAAAGATTATACATGTAGTTTACTGTACATTTACAGAATTGAGGGGATGAATTGAGGAGAATTCTGGAGAGTTCTGGAGAGGGCAATACATAATGGCACAGGGGATGTATGCCGGTACTAGTCGTTCAGGAATTAAGCACCAGACGGCCCTGTCCGCTTGATTCGGAATTTTATGAACTTGCGTTTTCATTGTGTCTGCACTATGTATGGGTAGTCTGTCGGGGCTTCTATGAACGGGAAGCTTGTACTGACGTTTGATGGGTTTTCGTCATGGTGCATACTGACACAAGAATGAGTGTGATTAGATTTTTGTATGTCTAGATAGCTCACGGGGTCGGGTTACCTGAAAAGACTCCCATGTAGCGGACTTGACGAGTAGGAAGAAGTCTGTGCCCTGCCTGCAGGTCAAAAAGTGCGTGCGGATTGGAATGTGCGATCTGTATTTCTGTACATGAGACTGATTCTCTCTTCTGGCTTGGAAAACGACGCTAAATGCGGCCATTACAGGCGAATACCCCAGGAAGCGATCTTGTAAGGGGCCAGTGGATCCTCCGGTAGAAGGAGCCCTTGCCTAAACTAGATGTTCCGATGTTGCCCGGATCGGCCTCAAATTCTTGGTGCAAACCTTCGCTCCGCCTATATTCTAGTTTCAACGCAATCAGGCTAGCTCAATGGTTGATCATCTGTTGAGGGGCCAAAGCGACAGTTCTACCACTAAAATGGTAGCAGGGCAGCATATCTAATGTGTTAAAAGGTAACTTATCTCATAATCCTTTCTCTGCGTCATCTTCATCGCTGGCAGTACTCCTGGAGCATAGTCTATTGGATTGGGGGTTTTTTATTAAGTATGATGCAACATGGCATGAGTTGGTCGTCATTTAATCTTGGTGCTGGTCCCTGATGCTTGGAACGCGTGGGCTTTGACCTCAGCCCTTCTGCGCTATCGGTCACATTGCCGGCGTCTTAAATGGCTAGTACCGTTCCGGCTTCAGGATATAGATCAAAACCGCCTGTCGGACGACGTGAGGTTGTCGGGCGATCGGCAGGGGGCCAATTCCGTTCTCACAAATATGAGTCGCGATCCGTTGGAGCAGCGCATGTTCAGCATCGCAGTCCAACACGCGGATTCGTGGAAATCCTCCTTTCTCTTGCTGAATAACCTCAATGGAGTCTGGCAGATCGACCTTCGCTTGGCTGGCGTACACTCGTACCAAGTGCAACAATTCCTGAATGAGGTTCCATCGCTGCGGGCTGAGCTCGACAGGGCGCTGAGCTCCCATGGAATATATCAACTCGAACTTGGCGTTGAAAGTTTCATCACTCTCATCGATAATGTCACATGCATATTCGCCAAAGAGGTTCAAGGTTCGGAGCAGCGAGCGCCCTACCACGGTCTTCCCGGTAACGAAGCATTCAAGGCACATTAGCTGGAATGTCCACCCCCATACCTAATGCGCTGGTGGCCACGATTACCGGCGACTGCCCGCTCTGGAACTCGCCCAACACCCTCGCCTTGTCTAATTGTCGGCTGTGGTATATCCCGCACCCCAGCTCGCTTGCCAATGTCTGTCCCGTCCGGACTACCGATGTATATATAATCACCTTGCCTGGTCGACTGCGACGGATACGGTCGCGGATCATGGACAACACCTGCGGCGCCTCGGTCCAACGGTCCCCAAACATATACTGCCGGTCCACTGTGGGACGAACTACCCGGTATGCCACGTTGCTGCGACTTGTGCGGGCACGGAATAACTGTACCTTCTCGCGGGTCGTCTCGATACGTATGAACATCTTGCTCTCCTCGCGGGGTGCTAATGTCGCTGTCATATACACCATCTGCACTCCAAACCCACTTAACCGCCCCAGTCGGGCCATAACGGGGCGGAAATCCTTCTGGTCGTTCAACATGACGTGGCACTCGTCAATGACAATCCGATCTAATCGGTGCTGCATTCTGTCGGTTTAAAAATCCCATGAAATCTGGTCCTAGCGCGGACTCGGGGGTGACCAGCACGATATTCGCATCGTCGGCCGGCTGCCGGCTCTCCCATTCAATGCATCGGATATTCAACTGCTGGCATCGTCGCTGCATATCGCTACGTAATGCGATCAACGGGACCACCACCACCGTCGTGCCACCGGCAACCCACGCGGGCAACATAAACAACACACTCTTACCGCCGCCGGTGGGCATCACTGTGATAATCGGACTCTATCCCTGCTGGATCGCCTCAATCGCGGGTCCTTGAACCCCGCGGAACCGGACCAGCTCGTCACCTATCATCTTCTGTAACTCGGGCTGCATTGGTGTCTCCTGTAACTTCCACCGACGGTCCTGGCGACTACGCTCGGCTTCCATCTCCCACGGCGACGGCTGGCTGGCTCCGCGGGGGTCCACGCATTCACTGTCACCGCATACGAAGCCTAAAAACCGGTGCCAATCCGTGCTCGACAATCGGAATAACTGGCGTCGGTGTGCTGTGGTGCCGGGCTGCTCGGTAATCTCACGCCCGTATACCATGCCAGCGACATGCGACGAATGCGCTGCCTGCAAATCTGCGACGTGGCCTGACCATTCCTCCGCTCCCATGCCGCCCTCGTCGTCGGCATCGTCCTGGTCCTCCGGTGTGCGATCGTCTGTATGTACGCTGTTCGGGAACTGGTTGGAATGCCGCATATACCGTCGACTGATACCAATGGCAATATCCCGGTACGCCGTTAAATTAATCGCTCCGTCCAACCCCCGGCTGGTCTCGCTCTTCAAATCGTCCCGTAACCGCTCCGAACTCCACACCCGCTGCGTGTCGGGGTCGGGGGGCCACATATATGCCGCTCGTTGGTGTCTGGCTGGTCAGTTCGGTGAACCCCTCAATCGGAAAACCTGGACCACTACACTTACTGGTCACTCCGCTCTTTATCACGTCGGTGGTCCTGGTACAGCTCCATTCGCTCGACAAACGGCAACACCAACCACAAATACCACACCACTAGCTCCCCAATGTCCCGCGGTAAATACCGGTGAATGATTTTCACATCGTTCGATGCGTAAAACCCCTTATGGTACGACGTGACCATCGTAACCATCCCGTCCTCGATGAACACGTTCCGGTGGCCACCGCTGTCGGTGTTCTTATGTCGAATACTTAACAGTTCTGGCGCACCGGCGGGCTGTCCGCCACAAATATGGATGGCAATGCTTAACTTCCGACGGAATGCCACCACTCGTCGCATAAACGAATCGATCTTGGCCATTCGGGGTGCTCCGTGCTCGAAAAACTGCTTCGCCAGCTGTGGCTCCCGTCGCAACCGCTGCTGCATCCACTTCGCTCCGTCCACGGGCCACGGCGTACGGGTGTCTTGTAAAAAACTCCAACCGTGACCACTCTGCGTGGGATCGTCGTACAATGTCTTCCACGGGATCTTGGGTGCATCGGTGGTGTCCGTAAACATCAACTCGTCCAGCAACAACTGCCGCGTGTCACTGACTAACTGGTGTATAAACCCCTTAAACTGACCCATCGTAAATGTCAGCTCCTTATAAAATAACCGATCCTGGCCCATCCATCCCACGTGGCCCGGCGTCGTGCTGTTGTAATGGATCTTTAACCCGTATGTGCGTAAATCCAAAATCCACTGCATTGGGCTGTCTGTGCCGCGGACCATAAATTTATCGACCATCAAAACGACCCAATCGCGGAATGATCGTGCCTGACCGTTCTGGCTGAAGTGGATCAATGTGGTTTGGCTGGATGGTGGGGGGAACTATAACCCGCGGATATATATCCTGGCTCATCTATCGCACTCTCACCCTCCCACGTGCCAGCCATACGATGTTCTCGTAAAATCTTCATCATTTCGCCCGCCTGCGGGTCTAGTCGCATGGCTTTGTGCACCATCATGAATCGTGCGACTTTGATAATCCGGGTCAAAATTGGTGGGTAACTGTCGGCGTCGCGCCAACCGGCTTCCCCTCGGCCTTGCACCGCCAGTGCGCATATCAACGCACACTCGTAATCCTCTACCCGTGTACGCTGGTTTAACAATTCCATGCAAAAATCCAAACATGCTGTATGGATGGCGGATAATTCGAATTGTGCCCGATTGTCTGGTGTGTCGCGGTCGGCATTTCCGAACTGGAAAAATTCGTCCTCACTCGCCTGGCTCGGAACGGGACTGGCGCCCCGCGAACTGTTGGCGGACTTCGGATCTGGGGAATTCCGAACTGGCGAACTGGATCGGCTGGACTGAGCAACCGCCTGCGCTTCGTCCCACAGTTTCTCCCACGCACGCTGCTGTCGCCGGGTGAATGAATACTTCGGACTATTCCACTCGTGCGGAACCTGCGTGCGTGCGAAAAACATCAACACCTGCTGCCACGGGACGCTGTGTTTGACGATGGCCTCTTCCACCATATACGCCTGCAGCGGCTTGCTGGGTGTCTTATCACGCTCGACCCGTACAGCTTCGATCTGGATGGTGTGGCCCACACGCGCACTAACCTTTTGACTTATACGGGCCACAGCGGCCATGGAATCCCAAATCGCGGCCGTGGTTAATGCTTCCTCGCTCTGGTCCTCGGGATCGGGTTGTTGGACGCACTGGACCAAATCGTCGGGGTTTAAACCGGCCAAATACACGGCCCACTGCGTGCGACGAAGCCACGGGTTCGCTTCGTCTCGCTGGCCGGCTTCGATCTGGATGGGCTGGTGGATGTGTTTCTGGTATAACTCTTCCATCTTGTCTAACTCTGCGTGGATCTGGGACGCCTGCTCAACGGGGGGTTCAACTGGTGGATTCTGGTCCGAACTGTGGCCCTGCACGTGAATATAATGCCGGCCAGTGCCTTGGTTAAACACCTGCTGATATGCCACCGTACGGCTAAACTGCTGTACCTGTTGCTGTGCCATATCGCGGGCTACGGCCCGGGGACGACCTTTGCTGCTACTGGGCTTCCACCCGTGCTTCTCACGCCAGTGGCGCTTCATAACGTCGACGCTACGGACCACATACCCGCATTCGGATACACGGGTGCATAATAAACCATCGCGATGAACTGGCAACCCGGGAATGGGATCGTGGACGGTGGTGGGCACTTCCCAACGTTCACATTCCTGCACTCTGTTCCACTGCTGGATGGCGTGCTGTAACTGTCTTCCGGTGGGTAATCCCAGTCGGTGTTGGGCTCCCTGAATATGACGACTGACTTCACTTGGTCGGACTCCGATCTTGCATTGTTTGCAAATAATGATGGGAAATTCCCGCGGTTTGATGAAAATCTGGTTCTCCATATTGCAGTGTGGATATATATATATAGGGGATTAGTAGAGGGACACCCCCCACCTGTAATGGGACACCCCTTTCAGTAATGGGACACCCTCTGCCTGCAAATTCTGGCATCTATCTTTTCTGCCGAATATTCTGTCACTTCATACTAATTCTGCAGCTTTGAATTCTGGTTTACATAGTAAAAGAAGCATAATTTTAGTAAGAAAAAAGGGATTTATTTTACAGAATGATTTGCATAACAGCATACATTTCTCACTACTAGTAATACTCGAAGTCTGCATCTCTGCTTCTGCCTGCGCCTCGCCGCCTTGAGCTCCGTATCGTCGCACTTTCATCATCATCTCCATCTCCATCTCCATCTACAATACGAGTAGCGCCCCGAACAGCGCCCTGCCCCCGGCCCGGGCCCCTCCCTCGCCCTCGCCCTCGCCCTCGCCCTCTCCCCCGAGGCTCCTCCCACGAAGAAGGATCTCGGTGCACAGAACGCTCGTGAGCTGATAAAGGGGGCTGAGTCAACGGATTAGGAGACGAGCGGGGGTTCTGCGTGCTAGGCTGCGTGCTAGGCAAATTCTTAGCGCCTCGGGGGCGCCCTCGTCGGCATGTACGGAGGGGGTCTTGTATAAGAAGCAATGGATCGATAGGAGGAGCATCGACGCTATATAAATGCCAATGCTGATGGAACAGCTCTGGTTCGAGGCATCTATCTTCCTCTTCGTACTGCTGTAGTATATGGATGCAGGGAAATCCAGCTGTTTCCTTCGAATTGCAGGTACAACGTGGAGGAATTGGCCGCGTATCATCCCCTTGATACCGTGCGTGGAGCTCCTTTGTAAGCTGAATTGCTCGTATAGAGATCCGAGTATAAAGCAGCCGATAAAGCTTAGGAATATTGCCAGTTGGCCGACGGATTTTCTGGGCCTCGATGCTATGCTGTATCTTATCGAATTGGAGCGCTACAGACCGGGTAAAACTGCGGAGCACTACCAGTAAATCATTGGTAGAGACCTGGAGATCCTGTTTGAGCAGCCAATGCGCACCCTCTGTACGAGAAGTAGCAATCTCATGAAGATGAAGGTATCGCGAGGTATAGCAATGAAGAAACCGCCGGGGACAGTTATCAAGCCATTCCTTCTGTATATAATCCAACAATGGCGCAAAAAGGGGGTCTATATATCGCTCTTTGAAATTGGCCCACTGCTGGTCCCTTTCCTCGAGTGTAATCGCGTACACAATGCGGTTCCAGCGCTGTAGCATCTTCTTCCACCCCGCTTCGGCCTTCTTACGGTCTTCGTTGCGCTCGGCGGCGGTAAGTTTGCGGGAGGTATTAGCCTGGGCTTCGCGGCGGGCTTGTGCTACCTGATCAGCGAGTATTGGGCGGGCCTTCTTGAGGATATTCATATTGATATGCCAAATGCAGAGCATATGCTTAGTGCTGGGAAAAACGACCTCAATTGCCTTGATAAGCGCCTCTTCTTTATCGGTAAGGATCGTACTGGGAGGGGCGAGAGCGAGGGATTCGTATGCTTCGGCTAGGCAGGTAAGCATTACCTAAAGTATATAGTATAATATGTTAGAAAATTAATCGATTAGGTGTCTTGGGGGTATTATACCTCATATGAATCATCCTTCTCATCTCTCATAAATGCAAATGCAAGGTGGAAGGTTGAACCAGTAGCCGCAAAGCCTACAATATCAAGCAAAGGGAGCCCATATCGATTGGTCTTATATGTGCAGTCCATTGAAATAACCCAGGGGTTCTTTCGAAGCATCGCAATGCTAGATTTATGCATACAAAATAGCGCAGAAACATGAGATTGATCATCAAGTTCATACTTGAAAATCCAGCCCCCATCCTTAGGAAGCTCTATCAATAGTGCTTGAAGCGGCGTACGCCCAGCAAGAAATAGCTGGCTTAGCTTCTTCCGTGCGTTGTAGATATCCTGGGGAATGAGCACACTTTCTGGATCCGTTTCACGTATCTCAGTAAGAATCTGGCGCGTTGTATGTCCTTGCCGAAGCCCATTTTCTACCTGATCGCTCTTATGGGTAAGATCGAGCTTCCGTTGTGCAGTGTGGGTTGATGCCGGCGATGGTTGATGGTTATGCTTCGACTTCGAATCGTCAATTGTTAGATGCCAAAGGTTAGTTTGGAGATCTAGCCGAAGCACAACCATAAAGGGGCATCCGAGTGCAAGGGTTGTTGTACGGCGCTTTTTGACCGTTTCTTCATACTTGACTGCGCGCCCACGATCACAGCAAAGGTAGACCGTTTTCTTCACGCCATTCTTAGTATATTTAGAACGCCGAATCGTCACCGCATAGCCATATGGGCGCGCAAACGTATTGACTACCTCGGCCCCTTCCTCTGGTGTATTGAATTGCTGGTTTAACGGAGGTAGCGGAAGCTGTATGTACCCCGGGGCGTTCGGTGTAGGTATTGGCTTGGGGCTTCGCTGGGTACTCGGTTCGGGGCTTTGCTGGGTGCTCAGTTCGGGGCTTGGTACCGGCTCAGAGGTAATTATTGGCTGAGAATCTAGGATAAGCTCCACATCAGAATCCGACATCAGGTATGTTAGGCCTAATGAGGCCATATTGATGATATTAAGTGCGTAAAATGCGATGAAAAATGAGCAGAGAAATGACTTGAGATTTAGAATGAGGATTTCGAAAGTGCGAGCCATAATTAAGAAACAAACTGGACTTCTTAGCTATAATTGAAATTTTCGCTCCACCTGCTAGGTGACTTATTTTTACTAGGAGTTTATATAGTAAATACAGGTACCGCCAGAGGACTTTAAGAATCTACAAAAGTTGATAGAAAAGCGGTGATAAGAGCGGTGAATAGATGCCAGAATTTGCAGGCAGGGGGTGTCCCATTACTGAAAGGGGTGTCCCATTACAGGTGGGGGTGTCCCTCTACTAATCCCCTATTCAACACCATGCTACCAAGATGCTCTCAAACCTCCCAAGTTCGCTGGATTGCGAGGGTAAGATCACTTTGGAAAACAGGGCTATTGAAACGGGTCGATTCTCCTCTCTTCACGCAGCGGCTAGTAAATACGGTGTTCTTGTGGCTACAGCGCGTCCACGTATGAAGGCCCTGTCGCGCCGACAAATGCCATACTGGCCATAAATTAGCCGAAATTGAGGAAGGTTCACTAGTAAATCGAATACTCGATATGGATATGCGTGATGCTACCCCAAGTCCTGCTACCCATGCGTAGATTGTGATGACCAGGGCACTAAGCGAGTGTGTGTGTTTTACTTGTCCTGCCAATGGGCAGTACCTGGAGGCCTTGACGGGACTTTAGGCTCGTTTCCGAGAAGTGGTTCCCTCTACATGTACGCACAGGGATATCATGGAATATTTTAATTCTCACGCATCTGTACTGGGCGTCGGGGGCTCAGTCGTTTGTTCCCTCTCATGAGTTCCGCTTTTTCACGCAAAAGACCAGCTTCTCCGACTTAAGCAAGTCATTTGTCGTCCGGGCCTTTTTACGCTCACGGTCAGTCCGCTCGGCCACACTCTTGATGAGGGTCTGCGTTCTTCGGATATCGTCATGAATGGACCACTAAAGCTCCCTGGTTTCCTTGATTGTGTATAACGTTAGCATACTTATCGATCAGTCGCAGTGGGTGAGGACAACAGGAAGAGCGAATAATGGACACACCTCCAATGAAGCTTCAGCCCCTGTTGAGTAAGATGGAGGGTGCAGTTGATCCACGGGCCATTTCTCGATGGAAAATTCGGGTGGCTGGTTTGCATAATGAGTAAAATATCCTTATTTGGCTCGGAGACTTGGCCAGATCTGACGAGATTTCTATCTCGAGGGTCTATTACAATTATTTTTCACAGTCATTCAACCGGTCTGGCCTCACAATTTGGTTTATTTGTTCATATTGAGATCTTAGAGAATTGTGATGGTGTGCAAAACGAGTAACTACAAACAACTGTTTACTTCACTATCCTGTTAGCGCGCTGTAAAATTAGAGGACGTTAATGTTATCTAAGCAATAATTCTATGAATGTGATAGATTAATATTGTCTGATATTAATCAATCCGGATGTAGGCCAGGGATTCGCGCTCATAGCACATTTCTCCTCCTTGGCTAGGCGGAAGGTGTCTCGGACTTAATTTATCTCCCAGTCGTTTCCATGCTCGGTGTTCGACTGGGGTAGTAATATCCTCCGCGTTTCATCGTGGATTTCATTCTCGGTGTCCCCTTCGCCCTGCACCACCGGGTGTGAAATACGCTGGTAGTCACTCCTCCTGCTGGCAGATTGTGCGCTCATCCAACTTGTTCGATGGCCGGAAAGCCGAACGAAAGCTATCTGTACAGATTTGCGGAATATCAGCCACTACACTACAAACCTCACTGTGGCAGTATGCAGTAAACTAACCTTGGCCGCGAAAACAAAAACAGCCGCCGCAAAAACCATCCAAGACGTACGCTGCTGGTACTCTCTCCAAGGGGCAAAGCAACTCCTCTGATATCCCAGCTGCATCTCACACGCATTGTCCCCGTGGTTCCGGTCCTTGAAAGGCCATGCCCTGTCGTGAAGACTTCTGAGACCACAGCATCGGAATTCATCTTGGATTGACCGAATAGCGTGCGAATCCTTCGACTGGAAAAACTCCTGCCATTTTTGATCTAGATTACAAGAGAGAGTTCTGTGGGGAAAGAGGTACGCGAGTGCTGCTGTAGCCACGATGGTCGATATGACTGTATGAGCCTGATTGAATATATCAGATATTGTGTTCCATCGACAATTGCGAGCTGTCTCATTGTTCAAACGTGTAGAAAAGATTCGCGGAACTATCAGTATGAGTACTGTGATCGGGGGAACTAGGGTCGCTATGGCTGGAACCCATGTAGGTAAAGGAAGACGCAATGCGGAGGTGCGAGCCCAAGACATCCTGTTCCGCGAGAAGGCTCTTAGTCACTATTCTCGTTGATTACACGCTGGCTAGAGATATGATGAAAATGCAACTCACGCTCCAAGGACCAAGGAGATGGTCCCTCCCTATTGGCGAGGTTTGTCAACAGAGGTCATTGCCAGGCTGGTACTTCAATATCTTACCACAATAAACACAATGTAGAGGAGTGTATTTGTATCTGCCTTGAAGGACATCATTTTATATGAAGTCAGACGTTTTCAGGCAAATCTTAACTGAAGAAGAAGAAGAAGAACCAGCGACCTATGAGAAATAAGATAAAAGCGTGAGGTGCTAGGTGGTGGACGATATAGGCGGGGTCTGCAGTCGGAGCACTTGCTAACAAATCGAAACATTTCACTCTCGGAAAAGGCTGGAAGTACAGTACCCACTAAAGCGCAGCAAACTGTCCTTCCCAAGCACCACTGTGGAACAGTTATACACAAAGCCAAACTCCAAATTCTACAGGGACCCGAAGAAGCAGGTTATCTCCCAATATCATGGACCACAGAAGAAAGTATAAGAGTAGGCGGTTGTAGAATTCCCTCGAGATAAGAGCGTAGACGAAGAGAGGGAGCGTGCCAAAAGGCATAGGCCGATCGACATCTAGAATTGCGCCACTGTTACACAGCGGGCTTGGCTAGAACGGTGAGAACTTATGTGCCTTCGAGTTACACGTGGCTGTATACAAGCCCAGAAGAGGCGTTATAGGTATCCTTGTCCTCTTTCGGAATCACCGAAAAGGCGCATCTAACTGAGCTTTCTTTCAGCGGCATCCTCATTTTGCACGAGCAGTCCAACCAAAAGGCAATACTGAAAGTGATGATGATTCAGAACCCGCCCCGTATTATAACACGGTAACTCTCATATTTATCTATCCCTGCGTAGTGGTGGAGTCTCAAGCACTGTGGTCGCGAATGGTAAGCTCGGGGAGTAAGCCCCCTTGCGTCTGAAAAACCACTGTAAACCTTCATTTCTTCCTGTCTTCATGACTCGCCAGGTGACGATTAATTAGCCGACGAAAATGGACACTTTTAGATTAATGTTGTTATGAGAGTCGGTTTTTTGAACAGTTCATGAAACACGGTCATAGATCTAGCACAAGTTGAAAGTTTTCCTCCAGCTTCCCTAACTCGGCAAGCGGTCAGTAACAGCAGAACCAAGGTCGCTAGATCGTCACATATGGCCCGCTTGCATACAAATTATGTCAACCGACCTTAGCAAGTTCAACGAGATGAATTCGGATCTAGTGCACTTACTTTTCGTTCAGCAGCGACTGACAGCTGTGTTTTGGCCTGCAACAGGAAATATATCAATTCGGACGCTTTGACGGAGAGTTACGTCGAGTAGCATCACATGTTTAGGCTAGCGTTGTATTAATGACTCGGCGTTACCGCTCCGCACGAATCGAATCGAATCGAACTTTTGGCAGATTCGATTCGATTCGAATTAATATTGAAAATAACGATTCGTACGAATTCGAATTCAAGACCGATTCGAATTCGATTCGAAGTTCGCGAACTTTTTTGTTCTAAAGCTTCATTGGGAAGGCGGTCAATCACGCCTGTTGTTCAATACGATAGCCAGCAATCAACACTTCATACAGGTAGTCTAATAATTTGTTAACTAACATTTGGATTCAGAGATAAGTAGGATAGATTTAGTCTGATATCAAAATTGAAAAATCTGGCCTTAAGATTGAGAAGCTGTAGGGCAGTATCAATAGATGCAATTTTCGGTCAAAAAATTCATCCAGATATATATTGGGGATTAGTAGAGGGACACCCCCACCTGTAATGGGACACCCCTTTCAGTAATGGGACACCCCCTGCCTGCAAATTCTGGCATCTATTCACCGCTCTTATCACCGCTTTTCTATCAACTTTTGTAGATTCTTAAAGTCCTCTGGCGGTACCTGTATTTACTATATAAACTCCTAGTAAAAATAAGTCACCTAGCAGGTGGAGCGAAAATTTCAATTATAGCTAAGAAGTCCAGTTTGTTTCTTAATTATGGCTCGCACTTTCGAAATCCTCATTCTAAATCTCAAGTCATTTCTCTGCTCATTTTTCATCGCATTTTACGCACTTAATATCATCAATATGGCCTCATTAGGCCTAACATACCTGATGTCGGATTCTGATGTGGAGCTTATCCTAGATTCTCAGCCAATAATTACCTCTGAGCCGGTACCAAGCCCCGAACTGAGCACCCAGCAAAGCCCCGAACCGAGTACCCAGCGAAGCCCCAAGCCAATACCTACACCGAACGCCCCGGGGTACATACAGCTTCCGCTACCTCCGTTAAACCAGCAATTCAATACACCAGAGGAAGGGGCCGAGGTAGTCAATACGTTTGCGCGCCCATATGGCTATGCGGTGACGATTCGGCGTTCTAAATATACTAAGAATGGCGTGAAGAAAACGGTCTACCTTTGCTGTGATCGTGGGCGCGCAGTCAAGTATGAAGAAACGGTCAAAAAGCGCCGTACAACAACCCTTGCACTCGGATGCCCCTTTATGGTTGTGCTTCGGCTAGATCTCCAAACTAACCTTTGGCATCTAACAATTGACGATTCGAAGTCGAAGCATAACCATCAACCATCGCCGGCATCAACCCACACTGCACAACGGAAGCTCGATCTTACCCATAAGAGCGATCAGGTAGAAAATGGGCTTCGGCAAGGACATACAACGCGCCAGATTCTTACTGAGATACGTGAAACGGATCCAGAAAGTGTGCTCATTCCCCAGGATATCTACAACGCACGGAAGAAGCTAAGCCAGCTATTTCTTGCTGGGCGTACGCCGCTTCAAGCACTATTGATAGAGCTTCCTAAGGATGGGGGCTGGATTTTCAAGTATGAACTTGATGATCAATCTCATGTTTCTGCGCTATTTTGTATGCATAAATCTAGCATTGCGATGCTTCGAAAGAACCCCTGGGTTATTTCAATGGACTGCACATATAAGACCAATCGATATGGGCTCCCTTTGCTTGATATTGTAGGCTTTGCGGCTACTGGTTCAACCTTCCACCTTGCATTTGCATTTATGAGAGATGAGAAGGATGATTCATATGAGGTATAATACCCCCAAGACACCTAATCGATTAATTTTCTAACATATTATACTATATACTTTAGGTAATGCTTACCTGCCTAGCCGAAGCATACGAATCCCTCGCTCTCGCCCCTCCCAGTACGATCCTTACCGATAAAGAAGAGGCGCTTATCAAGGCAATTGAGGTCGTTTTTCCCAGCACTAAGCATATGCTCTGCATTTGGCATATCAATATGAATATCCTCAAGAAGGCCCGCCCAATACTCGCTGATCAGGTAGCACAAGCCCGCCGCGAAGCCCAGGCTAATACCTCCCGCAAACTTACCGCCGCCGAGCGCAACGAAGACCGTAAGAAGGCCGAAGCGGGGTGGAAGAAGATGCTACAGCGCTGGAACCGCATTGTGTACGCGATTACACTCGAGGAAAGGGACCAGCAGTGGGCCAATTTCAAAGAGCGATATATAGACCCCCTTTTTGCGCCATTGTTGGATTATATACAGAAGGAATGGCTTGATAACTGTCCCCGGCGGTTTCTTCATTGCTATACCTCGCGATACCTTCATCTTCATGAGATTGCTACTTCTCGTACAGAGGGTGCGCATTGGCTGCTCAAACAGGATCTCCAGGTCTCTACCAATGATTTACTGGTAGTGCTCCGCAGTTTTACCCGGTCTGTAGCGCTCCAATTCGATAAGATACAGCATAGCATCGAGGCCCAGAAAATCCGTCGGCCAACTGGCAATATTCCTAAGCTTTATCGGCTGCTTTATACTCGGATCTCTATACGAGCAATTCAGCTTACAAAGGAGCTCCACGCACGGTATCAAGGGGATGATACGCGGCCAATTCCTCCACGTTGTACCTGCAATTCGAAGGAAACAGCTGGATTTCCCTGCATCCATATACTACAGCAGTACGAAGAGGAAGATAGATGCCTCGAACCAGAGCTGTTCCATCAGCATTGGCATTTATATAGCGTCGATGCTCCTCCTATCGATCCATTGCTTCTTATACAAGACCCCCTCCGTACATGCCGACGAGGGCGCCCCCGAGGCGCTAAGAATTTGCCTAGCACGCAGCCTAGCACGCAGAACCCCCGCTCGTCTCCTAATCCGTTGACTCAGCCCCCTTTATCAGCTCACGAGCGTTCTGTGCACCGAGATCCTTCTTCGTGGGAGGAGCCTCGGGGGAGAGGGCGAGGGCGAGGGCGAGGGCGAGGGAGGGGCCCGGGCCGGGGGCAGGGCGCTGTTCGGGGCGCTACTCGTATTGTAGATGGAGATGGAGATGGAGATGATGATGAAAGTGCGACGATACGGAGCTCAAGGCGGCGAGGCGCAGGCAGAAGCAGAGATGCAGACTTCGAGTATTACTAGTAGTGAGAAATGTATGCTGTTATGCAAATCATTCTGTAAAATAAATCCCTTTTTTCTTACTAAAATTATGCTTCTTTTACTATGTAAACCAGAATTCAAAGCTGCAGAATTAGTATGAAGTGACAGAATATTCGGCAGAAAAGATAGATGCCAGAATTTGCAGGCAGAGGGTGTCCCATTACTGAAAGGGGTGTCCCATTACAGGTGGGGGGTGTCCCTCTACTAATCCCCGTTGAATATGGTAGGGCACGTGTGCGGACGCGTTTCGGGCGGGTCTGTGCACGTCGACCGGGAATTACGTTAGTTATCCTTGGTTAGTAAGCGGTTTACCGACATGAATTCTCCTATTCTTTCTCACCTATCGAGTTCAGAATATGCTCCAAGTCTTTGGTCGTGAAAATGGCCGCTTCATCCAAAGACACGCCCAATGTTGAGAAACATCAAACGATCGAAAAGATATTCGGCAATTTTATCCCTCAACATCATGATAAAAGTCTAAATCCTCTCAACCTTGCCAATATCTCCGTCTCGGAGTTCTCCGCAGGCTTGAGGAACCATTTGTCGATACTGAATGAGGGGGGCAGCATAGCCCGTGGCCGTGGGGAAGATTTGGTCAGCACTGGGCTAAGTAAGAGCCTAGAGAGCCTTTTCTCCACAACGACGCCACTCGTGACAGAAGGGCCACCCTTGACCTGGACGAGTCTTGTCCTCTTTGCAGGCCACCAATATGAGGGTACAGCGCAGCTTCCGGTCGGAGACTCCAGAATCGAGCTGTCCGAAGATGACCTCAAACTCTTACGCTCTGGTAGACCCTGGCGGTTTCTCTTCCCTTGGCCTGGTAAGGATGACTGCACGAAGGAGCTTCAATCAACGAAGACGGCTATTCAGGAGCTTCTTGATGCTCGAAAATTGATAGGTGAAGGTGAGTCCTATATAATATTGGTCCCATGATGCTATGTAGGAAGCTAAAATCGATCAACGTAGTTTTGGAATAAATTTCGGTTGTTGAGCAACATGTCCATGATCATCACATCTTAGTCTCTCGGCTTTCTGAAACTAAGCATCACGCCACCCAACAAGGAGGTCTACTTTTGGATGTTGTTGAATCCCCTGTTCTAATAGAGGGGTGTAGCGTACAGTACGAGCAGAGTGCCGAAGCTGTCTGGGTAACATGATTCAAATTAACAAAATACACAGAGAGATAAAATCAGAGGAATAAAACACAAAAGCAGGGCTAGCTACTGCTCTGGTCAACCAAGTGGCTGGGAAGTTAGAAAATTATTTTTTGGCAGGAGAATACGGATGGCTGGTTAAGTCAATTGAAGGTTTATTGCTGTTTGAGTCTACAGGGTAGAGGAGAGCATGAGAATGCACAATATGATGATATTGTAAGTGGTGAGAACTATCTAGAAGAAGAGGAGGAAAGTAGGAAGCTAGACTACCTGTACTATGGAGAGTCATGTGACATGAGAGATATTCAAACACCCCCCACGATCATACACATGAATCGTCGGATTAAAGAGCACCCCCCATAGTCCTTTCCTCCGAAAAAGTGAAGCTGTATTCACCTTTGAAAACACAGTGTGAACCGTAATTGACCAGATCAATTGACATGAGGCCGAAGGCCTAGCTGATCAATGAACCGTGTTGTAGTTCAGAGGTATGAATTGATTGTTTTTTCAGTGAGACACGAGGCTATATATATATACACAGTGAAGGCATCTACTTGCATCATGTATCTCTTCCACGTAGAAAGAACTGGAAGCTTCTTGATCTGCAACAGCCTCATATCACAACATTCCCCCTCAGGATCGCTTTGATGGCAAGGCGATACTGGATCAACGCTGTGCAGGCAAGCCTCAGTAAAACCACTCAAAAACCTTCGAGGAAAAATAAAGTGGAAAGAGCGCCTGCGCTGTCACGTTTGTTGCCTCCGAGTCTCCGTGGCTTCGATTCCTAGGAGACTACAGAATTTGGCAAAAGCCGTAGGTCCCAACGGTTTCGTGAGACCATCAGCGGCCTGTTCCTCAGTATGAACATATTGAAGACCAATCTCGCCAGCATTCAGCACTGCTCGCTGATAATGGAATTTCACGTTGAAATGTTTGGTCCGTTTGTGGAACTCGGGATTGCGCGAGAGGGCCATAGCGGACTGATTGTCAGCCATGATGTTGGTGACCGGGGACCGATACAATTGTGTCTCGGCCAGGAAGGTGCGGAGCCACTGCAGATGCAGAATGGCATTGTATTGTCCAATGTACTCGGCATGAGTTGTAGACGTGGCCACTTCCCCCTGTCTCTTGGATGACCAGGAGACTGGTGCGCCTGCAAGTTGGAAAACATAGCCAGACGTGGAGTATGCCCCATCAGTGACGACAGAGCCACCGAAGTCGGCATCTGTGTATCCGATCAACTGACCACTGCGGTACGTAATGCGAACGAATTGCGTGGCTTTGACATAGCGAAGCAATCGCTGCAGGGCGACCTGGTGGTGCGATTGTGGCTGAGACGTGAAGCGACTCAACGTGCCCAGCGCAAACGCAATATCCGGCCGCGTTCCGACCATCAGATACATCAATGAACCGATAGCGGTTGCGAATCGTGCTTTTGTTTCCTCGTCCGGAGGTTCTTCGTCTGGACGGCGATTCAAGTCTTGCTTGGGATTCATCGGGGTAGATTTCGCCTGGCAGGTTTCCATGCCAAAGTCGGAAAGAACCTTTTGGATGTACTGTTGTTGGTGAATGGAAACGGCTCCGTCGGCATGGTAGTCGAATTGGATCCCGAGGAACGAACGTGGGGTTCCAAGGTCGTTCAATCGGAACTCTCTTTCCAGTGCTCGTTGCACTTGGTCTATCTCGTGCGAGTTTGCTGCAGCAACGAGAAAGTCATCGACGTAGACACAGATCACGCAATTGGATTTGTAGAACACGCAGTTGTCCGATTGTGCCATAGTGAAGCCATGAGCGGCCAGCACGCGGTGGACGCATTGGTACCAAATCCGCGGGGCCTGCTTGAGACCATACAAAGAGCGGCGAAGCCGGCATACATAGCCTGGCTCTTCGAAGCCTTCGGGCAACTCCATGTAGATGGACGAGTCTACGTCACCATGTAAGAATGCGGTGACCGCATCAAATTGGTGAAGCTTCCATCCGCGCAACACGGCGCTGGCGATGATGCAGCGGACCGAGTCCATCCGTGACACTGCAGCAAATGTTTCATGGTAGTCGATGCCATGCTTCTGCCGGTAGCCTTTGATGACCAGTCGCGCTTTGCGCGTTCCGTTGGCTTTGGTCTTGAAGACCCATTTGCAGCCAATCACATGATCTCCGACGGGTACGTCTGTTCGCAGAACCTTTTCCCATGTTCCGTGCTCGAGAAGAGACGCATATTCTTTCTGGATGGCTGCCCACCATTCCAGTTGATTCGGGCCCGACACGGCCTCGTGAAAAGTCGATGGATCGACTGTGCTCGCAGATGCGGTATTCAGTGCGCCTGCGGTATACACCTTGCCAAGTGATTCCAGTAAGCGCCGTGAGGGTCTTCTTCTGCGGCCATAGATGGAATAGCCGAGATCCTGTGTGGACTTTGCTTCCTTTTCGATTGGATTGACCGGTGGAAGTGTTTCCTCCACATGCTGAGATGGCGTTTTCAGTCGTTCAGCCAAGTCCGGAGGCGATGCAGGTGGCGTAGGCAATGCGCTAGATGGAGGTGGCATCGCTGGTGGAAAGACAGGTGATGGAGGAGCATTGTCCGGGAGGTCGTTGCCTGTTTCCCCCTCGATGAGTGGCGCCACTGGGGTCCTCTCATCGAACTCGACATCACGGGAAAAAACTGTCTTCCCTGAATGAATTTCATACAGCTTGTACTGGTTCGGTTCACAATAACCTAGCAATCGGCACTCGGATGATCTGGGTCCGAGTTTTGCTCGATGCTCTTTCGGGATCAACACCCATGCGCGGGAGGCAATCCGCCGCAGATGCAACAGCGAGGGCGGCTTCCCGTATATGATTTCGTATGGGGTCTTCTTCTGCAAAATCGATGCTGGCGCGCGCAGCTTCAGATAGACCACCGTGTCCAAGAGCTCGGTCCACCAGGAAGGAGGAAGTTTCGCATCGGACAGGAGCGTGTTGATCCGCTCCCGGATAGTGCGATTCGTGCGTTCGGCCAGACCATTCTGCCCTTTGCAGTATGGCGGCGAGGTGTCAAACTCGACTCCCTGGGACTCGAGGTGTGTTCCGACGGGCAAGTATTCTCTCCCATTGTCGGTGAGGAACCTCTTGATCTGGGCGCCGAACTGTCGGTGCACCCAGGCCTCAAATTGTCGGAACTTCTGGAGCGCTTCATGCTTCCATCTCATGGCATATGCCCACGAGCCACGAGAGTAATCGTCAGTAAAGGTGATCACGTACCTGGAGCCATCTTTGGCAATCGGCATCTCCATGATGTCCGAATGGATCATTTCGAAAATTCTCGTTGAATGCAGACGTGGCCGTCTTGCACGGGAGTTCCTCTTCTGATGCTGCTTACCCGACATACACGCTGGGCACTGCGGCGTTGCCAGCAGCTGCGCCTGCGTTAGCGGTCGGTACGGAGTGCCGGTCTGCCGGAGGACCACCCTCAAGTCTCCCCGGTTCAGATGTCCCATCCGAGCGTGCCACAACGCTTCGGAGGCCTGGTCCACTCCTTTGCACGCATCTTCTTCGAGTATCACAGCTTCACCAACGAGTTCAGAGGTTGACGTTGCGCATTCTGCGTCACTTGACTCCTGAGGGTCGTCGACGTCCATGGCCACCGCCTGCGGTTCCAGGGAATCTGCATGGCCATGGGTCGCTGGCGCCCTCGCCAGTTGGACTCGCTCTCGAGATCTTCTGCTCACATGGCACCGCAGGATCAGTAGATCCTCCTCCGCATGGTAGGCGGTCCCCACGGTCCGTCCTCGGCGTTGCACAAAGACATTCTGTGGGTGCGCCACCACTGAGTAGCGGTCTCGCAACAGTTTCGGCACGCTGATCAGGTTCATCCCGACGCGTGGCGCGAAGTATACATTCTTTAACACCAGGGGTTGGTTGAACTTCCCCCGGAGCGTGAGCTTCACCGTACCAATCCCTTCGGCTTCCACTGGATCACCCGCCGTGTCCAGCATCTCGCGGTGGGGCCGTAGACTGCTGAAGCAGCCCCGGTCCCAGCAGATGTGGCTGGTGGCGGCCGAGTCCAGGATCCACCGGGGTTGCGGTGCGTGGGTATAAAGGGTCGTCACCCTCGCCCTCACGATATTGATCCTAGGTCTCTTGGAAGTCGGCGGGCCCTGCCGATCTTCCATCTGGCTTGATGGTATACTTTGTAAATTGTTTCTTGGTGAGCCGGAAACACTCCGTTCGGTCTTCAGGGCATGGTCCCTGGACGACTGTAATTCTCGCTGTTTCTTCTAGCATTGCGCGACCAAGTGGCCGCGCTTCTTGCAATAGTTGCATTTCTTGACAGTCTGTTGCACCGTATTGACCGACGGGCCAGATGCTGCCTGCGGGGGTGTCGGAGCCTCTTTTCTCCGCACCGTCTGCTCAGCATTAGACAGACGGTTTCCGATCGTTGTCGGATTCACCGGATCCTTGTCATTTTGAATGGCATCCACTACCAGGATGTATTCCGGTCCGATCTGCGTCAGCAAGATCGCAATGTGCGTTCGATCGCCAATGGATCCCGGCACGATAGCATTCAATCGATGTACGAGCAATCGTACTCGATCAACAAATTCGCGCGCGCTGCCGCAGCGCTCGCCAGTGGTTTCGCGAAGCTGGGCGAACAGCTCGCAAAATGTGGCGAGTTCCATCCGCCGGTACCGTTCTTCGAGTTCATTCCAGAGGTCCCGGGACGTCTCGAGTCCCGCGACATGAATGCTGATGTGGGGGGACAGATACCGGAAAATGGTGTGGTAGGCCTCAGCTTCGCGGCGCGACCATTCACGGTGGCGC